AGATTTATCCTGCTGAACTGACTTTAAAAAAAGCTAATACTAACAATGAGCACTGCCCTTTCCTGGATGTTGATATCTATATCTTTAACGGGAAGCTTATTACCAAAATTTATGACAAAAGAGATGATTTTTCATTTCCTATTGTTAATTTTCACTTTTTAGATGGTGACGTTCTCTTGTCACCATCTTATGGTGTTTATATGTCTCAGCTTGTTCGATTCGCTCGTGTATGTAACACCGTATTTGATTTTAACGAAAGAAATCTCTGTATTACTGAAAAATTATTACACCAGGGTTTTCGATATCACAAACTAGTAAAAACATTTTCAAAATTTTACCATCGATACAAGAACATCATTCGTAAATAGAAATCAACATGCAGACATCTTATACGTTCAGGTATTTCACATCCAATCTCTTATGGTAATATTCTTTACAAAGCACAAAAATGTCGGCATTCACCTCAAAAGCTAACCAAACATTTAAACAGACTTATTCAGAAGGGATATAATTACGATACTGTTGTCAGGTCATTAAAGATGGCATATTTTGGTATTAATATTGATTCACTCATATGGTCTCTGCATCGGAAATAAACACATTTATTCTAAAACCAGTTGTTGGCATGATACTGGTTATGTTCTTCTCATATATTTTATGATGGTATGATACTAAACCCCTATAGGGAGGGATTGTACTTGATTATCATATAATGAAGACATAATCTTTCAATCAGTTTAATTGAGGTCTGGAGCTGGCATGTCAGTAACTGCTAGTAGTTCTTTGTTAATTTATGTATCATTGTCATTTTGCTTAGTTTCTTTTATTACCTATTCTGACATCGAACTCGGACTTCTTTTAAACTGAGTTTTACTGTAAGTATTGCTGTGTGTTTGTTTAATCTACATTGGCTAGAGGTATGGGGGGGGGGGGGGGGTTGAGATCTCACTAAACATGTTTAACCGCGCCGCATTTTTGCGCCTGTCCCAAGTCAGGAGCCTCTGGCCTTTGTTAGTCTTGTATGTTTTTTACTTTTAGTTCATTTTTATGTTTAGGAGTTTAGTATGACGTCCATTTTCACGGAACTAGTACACATTTTTGTTTAGGGGCCAGCTGAAGTCCGCCTCCGGGTGCGGGATTTTCTCGCTGTGTTGAAGACCCATTGGTGGCCTTCGGCTGTGTTTTTTACTCTTTGGTCGGGTTGATGTCTCTTTGACACATTCCCCATTTCCATTCTAAATTTTATTGGATATAAGTACTATTTATCCCTTCCATTTTAGGGCGATACCATCGGGATAATAATCATACTACATAGCCACATTTAAAATAATTGAAGACGTCTGGAGTTACAATGTTAGTATAATTGCCGTATTGTTAGATCATGACAGTCAGGACGGCATCTTTCTTTTTCGTAATTACAGAGGGGTAAAATTGGTATAGCTTACTTTACTGCACTAGATGTTTGCCTATTATCGCCTTTTGAATTATTGTCATGGTAAACCTTTAGAATAATCCTAAAGATGTCTGTGTCTTACAATAAAAAAAAAGGAATTATCTTTGGTATATATAATTAACATCCTTGAATATAAATTACAGGCGATAGAAAATCAATATTCATATTTATTGTATATTGCAAAGGGAAAAGGGGAAACAATGAACATTGATATTATCAATTTGTCATGCAGTTTCTCTTTTGTTTTATTTCTATTTTTACTTAAATGATTTTTGGGAGTTCCCGTAGCAAACACATCTTCAAAAAAAAGGGGCAGGCATTTTGGTACCACAATTTATCATAATTTACTAATCTGATTCTACTGAAATTTTTATATATTCTTTCTGTCAAAATGCCACTATGTAATTCCAATTTATTTCTGAATTCGGTTAGTTTTTGGTGTTTTAAATAGCACACACGATGGACTATACAAATCAAGGTGCTTTCTGACTACAGCTTTTAATTTTGACATATAATGGCGAAGAAAACATTTGGATATCCAATTTTCATTTTTCTCTAGTTGTTGGAAGAGTATTTATTGTTCGGATCGCTGAAAATGGAGTTTGTTCGTTTAGGCAAAGGAGTACGAAATATAGTTTAAGATAGGGGAAAAAGCCATTAAAGTTTGCAGTGAGTATCATGAAAACGAAATACAATGCAATTTTTCGAAAATCGCCAGTAGTTCAGACATTAAATTTGGGGAGAAATTAAATTGCATGAAAACAATACCGAAATAAGTATAAAAGTATACTTTTTGCTTATTCCAGTTCATTGATAAGTTGTTACTGCTTTTACTAAAAAAGTTATCCTGGGCAAGTATAATCTCAATGTGCATAGGTAAAAATATTCAATGCGGAATGAGTTGCGAATATAAAATTTGGCAATATTTCAGCTTTTAAGGAAGCATAATTACGCCATGATGTTGTCCTGTAATTCAATTTGTCCTAAAAGTCCGATCAATCAACGTTAGATGAAGAACATGCACAAACAGACAGAACGCGAACAAACTTTAAAACAAAACACATTAATAAAATTGAATAACTTAAAGCTATCAAGCAATAATTAACCATTGAGACAATTTATCAATCAAAAATCCGAAGTAGTACCGGTATTATATATTAATGGATCTTGTGGCAAACTGAAAATGGTAATTTGTTTTAAAAAACTAAGGTTCCAACTCCCTCAAGCATGACCTTATATGGATTTTTCTATTCCTTTTTATGTGCCTTTCGGTTACCTCACGTATTCAATTACTTATTCTAATATGACGTGCTTCTTTCGCTTTGTAAACAACACCGTGATAAAATTCTCGATATATCTATACATAGCGCAGACTCGGAAATGAATATAACAATGGCTGTTACAATATACCTCCCACGTAAATCCACATGTATCGTAACCTATGTGCAAACGCTATGCCGATTTTATGCAATTGAAATAAAACTAAAGAAACTTTATTCTTATTCTGATGCATAACAGAAAGAATTAAAGCATTAGAGCTCGGAAAAATATACAAAATAAAAACAAAATCAAATTCCGCGAAATTCTAATAATGTATTTTGCGCATTAACGTCATTTCAAAACATGACGTCATACGAATGAAAATGCCAAAGCTGAAGGTTTTTCCGTTGCGTAGACCCTCCAAATTCAAATAATTTTGCGTTAAAATTGAGTTTTGAGGTAGGTGTTATTTTATTTTCTATTCTATTACATCATTCGCACATTTACTGATTTCAGCAAGTTAACATGGCGGCTCCTAAGTTACGAAATGTCAACTGTTGATTTGACGGTAGCTTACGAGAAAAAAATGTAAATTAAAACTGACAATTGTCGAGGTTGAGAATTAAAAGAATTAAACACATTTTTTCAAGCGGTTATTACAGGAAGAATTCATGCAAGGTATAGATTTTTTAGAAATATTTAGCTTTATCTATCAATGGGTAAAATAGAACAACCACACACACGGCATACCCTGCCTTGCTACAGTTTTTTAAATGACTGTATTTGTCCTATTAGAATCAAAGTAATTATACACTCTTGACTCCAATTTTTTTTGGGGGGAAAGGGGGGTGGGGTTGAGTGTTCCCGATGAAAGTTAATCTGAAAGAGCGCTTCAGACGGGATTTATTTAGTGTTATTTTCAATGTTTGGGAACAACAAAAAAAAAACAAAGAAAAGAAAAATAAAAGGCAAACGTATTTATCAAACTGCACAAAGTCTGAAAAGAATATAAAGCTGTATTAAATGATAATTCCAGTATCAGTTATGAGATGTGAATGATACATAACGTCACAGTACCCAAATTGTACTGAGTACCCAAATTGCACCTATTCAACAAAAATAGCTGCGGAAATCTTACAAATTTTCTTTTAGACGAAACAATTTGTAATTTCATTAATTGACATTATACACGTCTTTCAACATAGGTAAAAATATTTAAATATACACAAAACGTTCACAGTATATATCAACAGATTAAGCATTCCCCAGAAAAGTAAAATCTACGGAAACGTCGCCATGCGACGTTCACAAAAAGTAACCTTTCAAAAAAGAGCAAATAAAATATATTACATGCCTCCATTTCTTGAAAAATGATCAGTAAGCATATACTAATGTCAAATTGTTCTAAATATTTGAAGAAATAAAACCAAACATCTGTTATTCGATTTTAAAGATGTGAATTTAAGCATGGATGTTTAGAGGTCGGTTCAAACCCTTTTTTCTATGAATCAATATAAATTCAAAATTAAATTGGTGTACCTATATAATAAATAAGGATACGTCTACAAAATAAACACAGAATGGAAACTTTTGTCTGGACCATTAAAAAACGTAGGTGAAAAAAAACTGTCAAAATATAGGCAATTTGGGTACCCTCACGTTAAGCTATGTATTCCTTCAATTCACTTGATTAACCCGATTTTTTGGAATATACTAGTACATATTTCATACAGATCGATAAATTTTCCAACTTTGGTTGATGCCAATAATCTTGTTTTCTAAATTCGTGCTAGCACATACCTTCAGTTTTAGTGGTAGCTGATGCCAAAATATTCGTGGTAAACCATCGACCTTCGTTTACTAGATGGCTTATTGCTGTTGTTTCCATGTAAGCTCACTTTGTCAGTTTTTATGAAATTTCCCCCTTTTGAATTTACCTTGAAGTTCGGTATTGTTGTTATACATTTTGTTTCTGTTACATACGATACTAGTTAACTGTACTCATCTGTACCGTTTAAACCGATACCAGATATTGTGTTGTTATGGTGCTATGCTATGCATATGAAAATGTTCATCTGCATTAAACCTGCAATTGATGTTCTGTGCATTCCTCACGTGAAACTTTTATGTCAACGATTAACTACTTGCTATCATTGCTGACATGTTATAATAACAAAGAACTTCTATTTTCATCGTTTTACTTGCTATTCAAAAGATTTCAAACATGTTAAATCAGCAAAAAAAATTGAAGAAATAAGTAGAATACTTTCCCGATCAATAAGTTCTAGTTTGGCATTATCAACCTTGGTTAGTTTGTCATGCCATGAACACCTAATCATATCATGGAATAATCAGACATGTACTGAATTCATAATAAACAACAACAAACAGATATCTATATTTCATGTTTCTTTTTTGTGAAAAAATACACATTCACAACGTACTTAGATAAATTGTACTTTTAGCAATAATGGACTTATGATACACTCGTTTTAATCATAACAGAACATAGAAAGCTAGAATATGATCTGAATACAGAAGATGGAGATTTTTTAGATTCATTCAATTGTACAGTCTTTCGTCGGAAAACGATTGACGGATTTGTAGAAATTTCTACCACTTTTGAATGAAGTTTGTTGAATCATCCCGAATATCTATACTAAAAAATAATATGAAGTAGTTCTTGATGAATAACAATTGCAACTGTTATGATCTAAAAGAGCTAAGCAAGTGCTGGTTTTTTTCTCTCGTAATATAAATTGTTTGAACATTGGATAGCCTTTTGAATAATAATGGTCATATGTCGAAATTTAGGATATCGTTTAAAAAACTTATATATTACTTTATCTTATTTTAGTTCGAAAACGTGTTATATATTTTTACTTCATAACAATTAAAGATATATTGTCAACAGTAGAATACTAGTAGTTGATTGACAGATGTAGACTTTCTTTTGTCACATAAATTTTGCTTGTATTTAGACCATATTCTGTTCTTACAATTTAACATGAAATGCCTACACTGAAGTTGGTCCACCGTTGCCATTAAGATACACCAAAGGAACGTGAGCAGTATCTTTTGTATCACCGGAAGAACAATGGTTAAAATTATATGAGTCAAATTGAGACTTCATTTTTAACAGTCTTTTGAAAGCTTGTCTAAATTCTCGATTATAATAAGCATATATAATTGGATTCAAGCAAGAATTAGAATATCCTATCCAAAATAGAATTTTTCCAAGTATTGGTGGGTATGGACATAAGTCTTTACACATACTTGTAATTAAATACCATGAGAAAAATGGAAAAAAGCATAAAATAAAAACGCCCATTATTATTCCAAGCGTTTTTGCAGCTTTATGCTCCCTTTTCATTGTCTTCCGGTCAGAAATATCGCGAGAACTTCTATTTGGATATAAGGCATTTGACTTGTTTGAGCAAACACTAGCTGACCGGATATGCTTTTCTTGCTTCCGCGCTTCAATAAAAATCCTTATGTAAACAAATACCATTATAGTACATGGTATCCAAAATGAAACACTGGACGATATTATAGCATATAAACGATTCACAACAAAAGTGCAAGCATTTGGGTTATTTTTCAACACAAGTGCATTTTTATGTGTTGTGTAGAGTTGAGAATGAATGGGTATATACGAAATCAGTAGCGAAGCTATCCATGTAACAGCAATCATTGACAAAGCACGGAATTTTGTCATTTTTCTCTCATATTTTAAAGGTTTCATGATTGCTATATAGCGATCCATACTTATGCAACATATATGCAAAATAGAACTTGTGCTGAATAAAACATCATTCGAATTAAATACGTCACACATGAATGACCCAAATATCCATTTCTCACTAATTTCCATACTAGCATTGAAAGGCATCACCAGCACGGCAACTAAAATATCAGCAAAGGCCAAAGATACGATGAAGTAATTTGTCACACGTGACCTAAGACGTTCGAATTTAACAACACTTCCAATTACTAATAGGTTCCCTGCTACAGCTGTGCACATGATAAGTGTCATGACTGTTGATTTTAGCACCAATAAAAACACATCTAAAGATGTACCTGTTGTTTCATTAACAACAAAACTGTTGTTTGTTGCGTTGTCATTTATTCTTAGCATCATCTCTGGAGATTGCAGCGACATCTGTGATTTTAACATCGTTCATTTCCAAATAGAATGAAATAAAAAGGCAATACCAACAAGCTGGGAAACTTTAGTACGACATGCTTTGAAAGTGCTCCGTTTTAGTTTATCAAGTTTCTATTTCCATAATCTGCAATGAAAACAAGTACATTAGAATTAATAGAACAAGAAAATTCTTAAGTGAGATGTAGTTTCGAATTGAATGAAAAATGTAATAACTAAATTATCTTACGCTTTTTAAAAAACAATAGGATACAAATCAAACGAAAACGAAAACAAAAAGACAAATAACTGGAATATAGCGATATACCTCTTTGCTGAAATGTAAAATCCTGAGTGATTTAAATAAAGATTAAAGATTCCGATGGAAACACTGGATGTTTAGCCATGGTTTCCTATTGTAAATATAACTGACCAGCATGAAGTCAAAGGTGTTACATACATGATGATTTACGCTAATCTTAATATACCAAAACAATACTCAAGAAAATTTGATTTCGCTAGAGAACGATGAACTACTACGATCCCAAAATAGCAACTTTTACAAAGCATGATCATTATCAGTTAAACAAACAAAAACCATCGAATGACGAACAAACGATACAGTACTCCTACACTGTAAAATATCAAAGCATGTATTATTGTCAACATGTCTGTCATATTAACTCTTAAGCAGGAGGATTTTGAAAACACCAACCAATTAGTTCTAACAATTACTGATTAATATAATGTGAACCAATTAAGTTATAAAATTGTATCTCCTCATGCGTCATATAACAAAATTAATCTACCTAAATTACATCTGCATGTTGCTTTTGACTAAATAAAGAAAGATTAAAAAAAGAGGGAGAAAATAGTTTTTAGCAAGTTGACGAGAACAATACTGTATCCTGCAGATTCTAGCATTTTATGAAATAAATATAATTATTAGTTTCGTAGCTCTTTTGCTGATATAACAATATTTTAGAAGCATACAAATGAATGTTTTACATGATTTATTTCAAGATTGAATAACTTTTGTCTCTTTTTATTCTAATTAGATTTCGGTTCCACAATTTGACCTGCAATTCATTTTAAGTAAAGATTAAAGAACATCGTGGCTTTACAGACCAGCAAAGTTTTTGTTCTTGGAATTACTAGTTCAAATTCATGAACAAATAAATAGTTGGCACTAGTATACCAATTTTGATCTTAAATTGTCATTTAAATCTGAAAAAGTGTTAATGGAATGAACAATAAATTATTAGGTCATTTTCAGGATTTCAGACGTATCCACTGATGCAAATTAAGATCTGTTCAGACTGTTCAGTAGTTGGTATTTACCTATACACATCAACATTATACTGTTTTGTCTGAAAAGCTACTGAGCAGTTTAACAGTATGGAATTGACTGCAAGCGAATTGTCCGAACAGTACTGATTTACCGCAGTGGATAAGTCTGGAAATTGACAGAAAGACTGAATATTACTGAATAATTTAGATTTCAGACTTTTCAGATGATGCTAAGATCAAAATGACCGTGTCAGACTAATATTCTTTTTCAAGTGTGGGGTATTTAAAATGTCTTTAAGAAGAATTGATGTACAAGGACTGAAAAAAATAACACAACCATTAGTGTGATATTTAAAATGCATACAAAGTATTCAGAACCACATGAGATTCGTTTCCAAGTGGTACTTGTATTAATGTTAATCCATAATACTTACTATATTATTTAAAAATATATTTTTACAAAATATTCTTTCGGTGTGTTGTTAATATCAAAAGCATTCCGTAAATAAATGTAAACATGAAGATTATTAATGTGTTAAGAAAGACACTTTGAAATCCAAATAATGCTTCACTTTACAAGAAGGAATATTTATTTTCACTTGTATAGTTTGCTTTGTGTGCGTCTAAATATTTATAACAATAAGAAAATAATTAGCAGCATAATCGTACAAAAACCATATTTAAATATTTTGTGTAAACTTATAAAGTTGTTCAACATCAGTTATACGTGACAAAAATGTGGAAGGAATGCACAGATACTGTTTTTTATTTTCCAAACTTTCAGCTTACTATACATAAAAATCTTTTTTTTATGGCTAAAACACAAGGCATAGCAAAACTACTAGGGAACAATCTTGACAGGTAGTATAGGTACGTTTTTTTAGCATTCGAAAAGTTAGTAGAAAAAGAATTAAAAATGGAATTAAAACACTATATAAGATAGCCCGTGTCGAAAATGGTTACACCTGAAAACGTCCATTTGCCATACTAAATAAAGGTATAATATTATAAAAGAAATATACAGTGTTGAAAGCCTACCTGTGACTTTGAGAAGAGTTACAGCAATAACAGCGCTGTTTCTTTGCTTTTTTTTTTTGCTGTACATGTACTGATTTTGTGTTATGGATGGATACCCCATATCCTTTGTCATTTGCAGCAGTTTTGTTTTAATATGAACACTCACTTAAACACATTTAATAACCAGCATGCAGAAACGTTAATGTCTGTATGGATTGTTTCTCTATTTAAATGAGAGACATATTTCGCATTCGGCTTTCTAGAACAAGACGATAATCTTTCAATAAAACTAATCATAGAAGCCATCGGATTAGGATATTCTCGTCCATAAAAGAACACAATGATGGATTAGAAGATCAGAAAAGGTGAATAAAGACAACTATCTTGGATGATCAATAAATGCATTAGAAAAGATTAAATACCTGTGTAAACAGATGATTACAAATGAAAGATATGACGAATCGAACACAAAAAGGGTGCAATACCGGACAATCTTGGTCACCTGAGGGTAAGATATTCAGTCTCTTTTGATGCTCAGTGTCCGAAATTAAACTCATCAGAGATGATACAAAACTTTGCCGAATGATATCTGAGTGTTTCCAGTCTTGTATTCTGTTATTTTTCTCTCGCCCGTTCAACGTTAAAAGAAATTAACAAAAAAACGTTCAAAACATGCACGGATTGAGGCACAAAAGAGGTTAAATTACAGTTTGAGAATCTAACACAAGAAAGGTTGTAAGTCTGGGAAATCCCAGAATCCCAAGGATTTTCAATGTCTGACGAGGTCATTTTGGTCAGCAATGATAGCAAATGACTCTCGAGGATGTCTTAGATTTTAAATTCACGCATTTCTGCCGGTGTTTGATTCTTTTAACCGCCCGTTTAAAAATAATGTTTTTCAATAGCGGGAAAAGAGTTGTACTTACTATTTCACCGTTCCTATGGTCAATTGCTGCATGGCAAAGATATATAAAAAGAAAAAGTGAGTCCGTGTCGTATCAAGCTAAAGCTATTCTCTCCAAAACAAGTTAACCTGGGATTTTTTTACAAAAGAATAACTGGGTCGATGCCACTGTTAATTGACGTTTCGTCTCCAAAATTACCACCAGTAAGTAGTCAGGACAGTTTTGATGCAGTTATTTTCCGTATATTGACTGTTCATAAAATATTAAGATAATTCATTAAAAAAAAAACATAGATAGCCTTAGCCAGATTTGGCTACATTTTTAAATATGTTTTTAATTTATTTTCAATTCTATCCAATTTTGTAATTGATATGTTTTTCCAACTTCAGGGTAGACGTAGACGAAAAACAAGTAGGACAAACGAAATAATAATCCTGATATCTTTGATGTTTTTTACTTTTGACACAAACAAAGTTTTGTGTTTAATTTTCTTGAAAAACAGAACTTTTATCAGATACGAAAGCAAAAACAAACACCTTCTATTATGCAACTTATGTCGGAAACTGTGAATTGTTTTCTGTCAAGAATATGAACATGATCAATTGCTCGTTTTTTTTTCTATGTCAAAACCTGGAACCTCTATCTTATATAAATGCAATTATTCCTCTTTTGATAAGGTTATCTCAATCAAGGCATCTGAATATCATTATTTTCAATTTAATCATACTTAAAATGAAATTACAAGTATAATAAACAGCCAATAGATAAAAGAGATCACTATATGATGTTAGGCTTTGAAATCCACTACAAGTGACGCAGTAATTTTCAAAATGATAAAATATCGGTAAATCAGTCTAATATCCATTACAATCAAATAAAATAATAAACCATAATTTGTAGTTCATAGAAGTGGGGAAATTCAAAGCACCTTGCTTTATGCAGTTTATTAGTGTTTTATTAATCAAACAAAGACAAAAGCACGTGTTTCTCGAGAGATCTGGATATCAAAACAGCTCTGTGGAAAAAAAACAATAAAATATGAAACGGAACTAATGAATTGGGGAAAAAGGTAACTATTCTCGTTCATAGTCTTCACCGTTGGGTTGTAATTATTTTGAAACCAATGGCTAAAACAGGCTGAAAGCTGGTTAAAATGGGCAAATAAAAACAAATATTTTGAAATTTTCTTTTAAAAAAGACACAACTATATATTTCCCATTAACAAAATGACTGAAAGTGGAATAAAAGATATATCATTCACATTGTATTTGCATATTTAACTGATTGTTTAAGGAAACGTGAAAGTGAATGTCAAATTATAGCCAATAGGTTGTCATATGTTTTTGTATGGTTTTGAAAACTATGTATGCATGGAAATAACACTTTATAACAAATTAATGTTTTTTTCTCTACTTACGTCATTAGGAATGCTCAAACCATAACTATTAAAAGCTTTAAGGGAGTTAAAAGGAATAGCCAGTTGTATCTAAGGTCACCTGTGTCGAAGGGATTTACAAGGAATAGCCAGTTGTATCTAAGGTCACCTGTGTCGAAGGGATTTTAAAGGAATAGCCAGTTGTATCTAAGGTCACCTGTGTCGAAGGGATTTAAAAGGAATAGCCAGTTGTATCTAAGGTCACCTGTGTCGAAGGGATTTACAAGGAATAGCCAGTTGTATCTAAGGTCACCTGTGTCGAAGGGATTTACAAGGAATAGCCAGTTGTATCTAAGGTCACCTGTGTCGAAGGGATTTAAAAGGAATAGCCAGTTGTATCTAAGGTCACCTGTGTCGAAGGGATTTAAAAGGAAAAGCCAGTTGTATCTAAGGTCACCTGTGTCGAAGGGATTTAAAAGGAACAGCCAGTTGTATCTAAGGTCGCCTGTGTCGAAGGGATTTAAAAGGAACAGCCAGTTTTATCTAAGGCCACCTGT